TTTATTTAAAGTAGAATTTATTGATTTATAATTTCAGCTGATAATACAATTGCGAGTATCTCGTGATTGGATGATCCAAATTCAATGAATGTTAGCTTATTGGATCCGCCTAGTTTCGAGAAATCGAATGGTAGTTGTTTCATATGAATCGGTGCGATATTGACTGAGATCGTACATCTTTTGTTTTTTGTTTTTTCTAAATATAAAAAATCATGTGATATGATATCATTTCGACTATTTCGCAACTTTAGCCTCCAATGGTCGAAATGATTTCAACTATTTCGACCATTTCAGACATCTAAAATGATCCATTTCGACTTCATGTATAATGGGGATGCTTAATTTCAAATGGTTTTTTAAAAAATTTTTTCTTCGAAATTGCATTGTCAAAATGATATTTAAAACTGCATAAAATGATTATCCCATGCAACCAAATGATCCATGCAACCAAATAATTTATTTCATAACGTGAAACGCATTTCAGTAACCTTCTCATGAAAAATGACAAGAACACACAAAATTAATAAAATATCAAATGTAATCATGCTTCATATTCTATTATCCAAAAGAATCAAGTAATCATTACGCTAAGTAGCATGAACGAAATAAAGTGGCAGACTATTTTCAACTTGATGCTAGTATAATAGGTCGTTGCTAAAAGCAAGTGAAAATTGGAATACCGAAATAAAACAAGATAGCAAATGAATTGGCTCAGGTCAAAAAGAGTTTTATCCTGAGACTGAAGATAAGTTGTATACTTGGGTCATTGAGCAAAGAAAACAAGGATTGGCAGTCACTTATACGATCCTATGAGTTAAAATGCAAGAAATTATAGAGACGTCTGAAATGGTAAATTTGTATGAAGATTTGGCAAAAGATTTTAGAATATCAAATCAATAGCTATCCTATTTTCTGAAAAGATATAAACTATCTTGGAGGAAATGTACAAAAATTTCCCAAAAGCTTTCGAGTTAAACGGAAGAATTGTTGGCCAAATTCCATCAATTTGTTACCTGTTTGAGAACTGAAAAATCCTTCAAATTGGTCAACATTCTTAATATGGACGAAACACCAGTATGGTTCGACATGGCAGATAACTTTACTGTCAATCTAAAGGGGGAGAAAACAGTTTATATTCACAGTACCGGTAATGATTTACAGTGGTTTTGACGTGTGCAGCAGGTAGGTCATGGCAAATGGTTTTTAAGTTCATCATATGAAATTAAATTTAACGGGTTCTATTTTAAGCAAAGTTTTTTTTAAGCTTTATATTCTGATTTTAAGTTATGGTTTCATGATTCCATTTCTAAGATTTTATGATTCTGATTTTAGATTTTATTATTGATCCACACAAATCTTTAGTGATTTTAAGCTTATAGTTCCAATTTTCAGACTTATGGTGATTTTTAGGTTTATATCTTTGATTTTTCAGGCTTATAGTTCTAACTTTTAGACTTACAATTCCAATTTTTAATTAGAGAGTTTAATGTGTTTGGTGATATTTCAAACATATTTTTTTTTAATTTCAACGATTCATTTGATTTTCAATAATATTTCAAAGATATTTTTGATTTTCAAATTTTTTATTTTGTTTTATTTAACATTAAATTTTTTTTTTACTGTAGATGTACAAAGTTTCCTCCGATTTGCATCTTTAAATGGAAGCGATTACAAAAAGTGAAAATATACCCCTGGTGTATTCATTTGATTTCAAACAAATGGTTGGATAAATTCCGAATTGATGAAATGGTATGTTGATTATCTTAAAGATGTCAAAGTGGTTGATAGATCTAGGGTTCAATGTTAATGGTTTACGATTCTTTTTGTGAACACCTAGAAGAATCAGTAAAACAGAAATTTAATGATTGCGGATTTGATTTAGCTGTTATACCAGGTGGATTGACAAGTTTATGTCAACCACTTAACATTGCTATAAATAAACCATTTAAAAATAACTTACACAAGGAATGGCATCTTTGGATGGCCGCTGATGATGCCAGACAGACAGCTGTAGGTAATCTTCAATGGGTTAAACTTGGAGACGTATATGGATAGGTAAAACATTCTTGAGAGGGAATCTCTACCAAAATCATCATAGATTTTTCAAGACTTGTGGCATTTCCAATACGTTAGATGATATAGGGGATTCTGATAAAGAAATTGAAGGTGATTTAGAAATTACTGATATTAGTGATTTGGAAAATGATGTTAGCGATTTTGAGAATGATGTGAGTGATGATAATTTGAAAGATAATTAATGTTAGTGATAATATAAATGAATAAATAAAATTGCATTTTTCTTTGTTGAACCGTTAATTTTACATGATAATACTTTAAAAATAAAAAAACCATTAATTTTAATTTTTTTGAGAGGTGCTTATTTTTAGCATATTCATAAATTCAGGGTGCTTAATTTCGGAAGTATATAGTAATTGTGTACTAACAATGTACTTCCTAATCCTGCCTCTAGCATACTAGTGAAACAAAATAAATTTTATTAAAAAAATAAAGGTCTTCTTTATTTGTAAAATAGTATTTTAATATACTAGTTCATTTCTAATCATTTGGATTTTTGATCGCAAAATCTATTAACCAATCCAAATATGTGATCAAAATAAGAATTGAGTATATGATTTTTAATTAATAAGTTTAAATATTTTTTTTAAAAAAAATGATGCGTCGTCAAATCATTGAAAATTCATTAATAAACCTTTTTATTAAGTAAAGCCAAGTTTTTGATAACTTTAATATAATGAATCAAATAATTCTGATTCTGAAAAAGAACTACTTAATGCTGAATATGATGAAATAATTCTTTTGGGATTATATACTTTATTAGATTCTCATTATTTAGAGTCATGTTTTCAAAGTGATACTGCTAAATCTCAAGAGTGATAGCACTCAATTGTTCCTAAATACAATGTTATTAGATTTAAAAAAATTATGAGAATAGATTCCCAAAGCTTTCAAAGTCTTATAAATAATATTAAAATACACACAGTTTTTCAATCAACCGGTAATAAACAATAAGCTCTAGTTGAATTACAACTAGTTATTTTTTACAAAGAGTTAGATCAAAGGATGATATTTTTAATATATATTCACAGTATAGTATTTCAGAAAGCACTGTTTATCTCTATTGTAAAAGAGTCATATTGGCTATTTTTTCATTAAAAAGTTCATTAGTTATATGACTAACAGGATAAAAAAGAAAGATGGTTCATTCAGGCTTTAAAGATATTAGAGGATTTAACAATGTTATTAGTGCTATTGATGATACTCATATAATCTTAGAAATTGCTCTGTTAAAATAAGCTAAGATATATTGAAATCGTAAAAAAAAAATATTCAACTCAATGTCAAGGTATTATTGATTATCGTGGTATTTTTATTGATTATAAAATAGGATAGCCAGGATCAGTTCATGATATAAAGGTATATCGAAATTCATTTTTTTATCAAAATATTTCTATACTTATAAAAGAATATGATTATTTATTAAGAGACTTAGCATATCTATTATCTAAATTTTTTTAATTAAATCTTTTACTAATACTCAAAATAATTTACAAATACAATTTAATATTACTCATTCTTTACATTATGTAGTAGTAGAAAATGCTTTTAGTAGACTTAAAAATAGGTTCGATTGTTTAAAAGATTTAAATGTTAGGAAATATCAACTACAATTTGTTTAACTGAATGTTGTATAATTTTACATAATTTTTTGGAAATAAATAATGATAATTGGAAAATAAATGATAATTATAAAGGTAATTTAAATGAAAATTCATTAAAAAGTGTAGGAAAAATAAAAAGAGATCAAATAATAAATCAGTTATTTATTTAACTAAATTAATAAAATTTTCAATTTAATCAAAAAAGATTTATTATTATTATATTATAATATAAAACTAAAAACTAAAATATTACATTAATCTTTTTTATATTTTAATACTAATTTCTTCACATTTAAATCATATTTCATTTTCATTCTTTCCTTTTCACATTCTCTTTCATATGCCAATCTTTCTTATTCAATTTTTAATCATTTTTTTTTCTAACTCATGACTTTTATCTAATTTTTTTTTTAATATCATTTTTTGCTCCCAAAATTTTTTCACGTGTTTGACTTATTTCAGCTATTATTGTGGTCATAACTTCAACATTATTTTTGTTCTTTTGTTTTTTATTAACCTTTTTAGTTTTGATTTTCTTTTCAATCATAATATCTGTTAACTTATTAGTCAAAAATAAAGGTAATATATTTTTACATATTCCAAAAATTATATCTAGCTTATCATATCATTCCCAATCTTTTCGTTTTACTTCAGATTGATTATTATGCTTCTTAACATTTTCATCTTTTTTTATTAAGCATGCAAATTTATCTTAAATAATTTAAAGAAAAAATAATTAAAGATTAAGATATTTGTTTATAAAGAAGCAAAATAAAAACTTACTCTTTATTGTAATTGTTTCTTTATTTGATAAAATATTCTTTGCAATATCATTATAAAATTTGGTTTTATACTTTTTAGACTAAAATATAAAATTTTCTTGAAGATAATCAAATAAGATCTCAATTTCACTATTTTTCTAACCAGAATTTTTATCGGGATCTTGATCTTTGTCATCATCATCTTTTTTCTTAACATAAGGTTGTTTAGAAATACTTGTCTTTTTAGGCTGAAAAATTTTATCATCTTTTCTAAACTAAAATAATTTTAATAAATACTTTATATTTACAGTTAAAATATATATTACAAAATTTATCAAATAAGTTTTATTATAATTTTCATTTAATTCAATTAAAGTGAAAAATGAATTATACAATTGAGGATCATATTGCTATTGAAAAACACATTACTCTTGAAGAGGAGGATGTTGAAAAGAAAAGACATGTTGTTATTGCTTTTGAAGCTAATGTCGCTGCTACTGAAAAAGTTTAAAAAGAACACTTTGCTATTACTGTTGAAGTTGAAGAAGAATATTTTGTGATTGTGATTCAATAAGAACTGGTTTAGGTAAAATAAATCACAGAGTAAGTGAAGCTGAATGCACTTTTTTCCGTCAGTATACTAACTCATAATATATTGAAATATACTTATAAGTATATGAGTTATATAATTGGGTATTTGGCTATTTTGCTATTCATAAATACTAGGTTTGATATAGGCAATGCCCTTGTGTATCTCATTATCATCTGTCAGCATATTACTCATAAAATACTTTAGTAATTCTGATTTTTTAAAAAAAAATTATTTATATTTATTATTATAATGTTTAATAACTTATACCTTTTTTATTATATAATCTTTATTTATTTGGAATCAGCGTAAGGCAATTTATCAAAAAGCTTACAATTATGAAAAAAAATAGGTAAATAATCAAAATATTTTAATAAGATTATATAATTCTTAGTTTAATTAAATTTTTTTAATTTAGCGTAATTTA